AAAAGTTAAAAGGGGAGTTTTTCAAAATTCATCTTCACACTTTGATCAGCAGACAGTTTCATCAAGTTATCCTGTAAAGTTGTAATGAAATTTAAATTATCCATATCTGTTGGTGTAAGAAATATGGTCTAGACCCAAGAATTGCTATATGTACATTTTCTTTTGATGAAAAATAAAATTCATATTCATAAAAGAGAAAGGAGATCTTTAGGACATGTAGTATATCAATTAATTATTAAATCAGAGCTAGTTTCTTGTAGAAACTAGAAGAATTTATTTATTTTGGGGGGATAAAGTAAGGTTATTTGTTTTTGGGGTCTTTTGGTTGGCTTATTTGTTTGTTTTTGCAAGGCTGCTAAAGAAACCATTATCAGACGTTCCAGAGAGAATTCTCATCCATATTAAAAAGAATCTGAGTATATATCCTTAGATCTCTTAGGTTTTAAGAATATGAGACTAGAGCCTTGGTAGGTAAGAAAGTCAGGATCTTGTACCTGACTCCATTAGGTACAGTGGCAGAAATAACTATAAAGATAATGACAATATCTAAAACACATCGCTGGTCTGACTGGAAGTCTGTTATGAAATGTTGGCAGTCTTCAGTCCTTTATGAATTCACATATAGACCTGTGGAGTATTTTCATTTTATTCTTTAGGAGAGTAGCCAAACCTTTCAACTGTCTTGGTTTGCTGTTCACAACAACGATAAGTACTCTTTAGACACCCATTTTGACTCCCAGGGTCCTTCGTGGCCCAAAGCACGTTAGACTAAAGATCACTTCAACAGAAGAATCTACTGATAAAGAGGCCACCATTGCAGAAAACAAACAAACAACAACAAAAAAGAATCTAAATTTGGACTTTGGTATGTCAAGAATAACTTTTAAGCATATTTAATGTTGCCAGCTACATAACATAATCTGCAAAGGCAATATTCTATGTCCTATTTTGGTGAATGATGACAGGGGTCCTTAGAGCTAGTAAGGAACAGATAGAGAGCCAGGATAGGGATAGAGAGGGGTTCCCCCCCATGCCAGTACAGGCCCCATAGCAGGGGTCTGGAACATTCAACACCTGCGAGGACACCTTAACTGGGCATGCTCCAATTCAGGCCCCACCAGCCAGGTCGGCGTTACACCTGGGTGGCCCAAGCTAGGCCCAGGTGGGCTTGTTGCAGTCAATGAGGGTCAAACAATACCTTTGACCATGTCTACCTAGCCAGAGGTTTAAAATACCCTTGCAGTAAGAAGGCGACTTCTTTGACCCCTGCTCCTGGTCAGTGGTCAGTGGCAGGTCGGAGAGGACCTCTCTTTTACTCTGCACCTGCACCGCCCTCTCTCTGGCCTCAGTTCA